ATGCTAAAAAAAAGTGTATCAAAAGAACAGCATCTGAGTGATAGTAGCTATTGGAAGGAAATGACCTAAATGCTTATATTTAAACCTGTCAAATGTGTTTAGTATTTCATAAACATGGATATGTAATTTTCATGCATAGCATGTATACGGCTTGTTTCAAATTTAGTGTCTTGAAACCATTTTAGACAATCTGAGTCCTTGGTTAATTTTTCTGGCATAACTGCTTAAGTATCAAGAGCATGCCCAGAAATCGACAATTAAACTCTGTTACGGTTTCTCAGATTACTGTGTTGATTACATTTTACCAATACCTATATCTTCAGCCCAAAGGAAAAAGACTGAGAATGTAACTTTTGCTTAGCTTGATGGGAAACCTCATTCTGTACTTCATTTCTGTCGCATTGAGCACGTGTTTTATGATTAGAAACTTCATGTTCTCCATCTGATTAAAGCATGAAGAGACACGACTGCTTTTAGGACATATCCCAGTGATATACCAGGAACTGATATTTCCTTTTAAATCAACAAAATGTACATTCATATTTTTGAACACCTACCAGGTAGAGTTGTTACAATGAGCAGGGTTCTCAGATGCAGATGACTATGGGTCCAGATAGGTTGAGTGAGCTGGGCTGTTTATAAGACATAAGGCAGTGCTGGAGTCTTTGGTGCAATGGAACATCATGCTGGCTGCAAAGCCATAAAGTTCTTTAAAACATTGTGTAGGCTAAGTGAAATGGATTTTGGTCCAAATTTCCAACTTCTCTTCACCTGGACAAAATGGTTTAGTAGCTTAGGTTTAGCTCAAAAATTGTACACTTTTGAAGCATTTAAGTAATCTTGGACATCTTCTAATACATTCTGGTACAGCTGCCCAAATTTTCAGAGCTGGTATATATTTTGGCTAATGGGTGCACCAACCACTTTGACCAAATTTCTAATTTGACCTAATTTCTAAATGAAACAGATTCAGGGCTTGACTGTTACAGGTCTCTTGGGTAAGGGGTGGGACTGGTGTATGAAAGCAAAATTGCACGTACTTTTTCTCTTTCTCTACTGTTGGCGGGGTAGTGCTGTCCTTTTACTGGTCCTTCGGGCATGATGCCTGGATGCAACCCAGAGGCAGCTTGTGATCGACTCTATGCGTAAAGCAGTTTGGTGTGGAAGACTTGGGCTTTCACCTTGGGTCTGTTTGACTCATTGAGTGACTTGAAGTCAGATAATCAACTGCGGGTACACACTGTGTCAGAGGCGGAACTCAGGCCTGCACCCAAGTCTCTGGTTCCAAACTCAAAGCTCTAGTCCTTGTTTCAAAGTCCAAATTGTCTTCTTTTAAGCAGAGTGTTAGGGTTTCAGTCCATTGCCTCACAGACTCTTAGCAGTTGAACATACATAGAATGTCTTAAGAGAACTGACAAAGTGGTTCTTTCTCTTACTATCTCTTTTCTTCTTTATAGGTTGTGTGCAAGCCAGCATGGGCCTCATTGTGCTTTGCTGTGTTTGTGGTGGCATGGGGCTGTGAATGCAACAGTCACCTCAACTATTAATGCCTGTCTGCATGCCAGCATTGCAATAAACTGCCCTTCATTACAAAGCTTGGAAAAACACAGGCACTCTTTTGTTTAAGCATTTGTTATTTGTATTCTGTGGTTAAGTATTATGTGTTCTGCCTGCAAAAATGTATAGTTCATATTCATTGCAGGGAATTATGTGTGGCTTTTCCCTCCTCTCCTAATAAATTGTTTTTGTGAGAACCAGCTGGTGTTTGAAGAACTAAGTTCCAGGAATAAAAAGTAATGACAGCTACAGAGCATGGGCAAAAGGTCTGAAAACGTGAGAGCCCGATCTGGCAAGGAGACCTTGGCCTGTATAGAGAGAATGCAGTAGGAATTTAAGCAGAGCCGGAAAAACTGTCCCTTTTCTGCCTGGAAAAGGGTTCATGTCAGATGTTAGGAAGACAGTTTGGCGAAAAAAGTCCTAAGTAAATAGAAATTCAGCCAGTACTTTCATGAACTTCACCCTTCTTTGGAATGTTTTCATTCTCTGGGGGGAAAACAGAGATTGAGTCATTTATACAGCCAGTGAGGACTTTACTAAAAAGGAAACCTCAGGAGATGTTTTTGCCGTGGTACTTTCTTAAGACTCGATTTATGAGCTCTGTAACACTGTCAGAGGAATGTGAAGGAACTTGCCTCCCATACTTCCTTGATGTTATAGGACCATATGTTGTTAGGAGGGTGTGGAGAATTTCATGAGATGGCTGTCTGCTGTGGAAGTCCCACCTTCCCAGTTAAAATAGGAAGTCTTCATGGCTGCTCCACCTCCCCTCCCCGTCATTGCTGCCTACGTTTTACACGTAGCACTCTGACTTTAGAAATATTATTATTATTGTGGATCCTGCAGAATGATTGCTAAGTGTATGCTATCATCCTTGGGGCCAGGGCCATGTGACCTCTGGGTTTCTAAATTCAGCCTGTGATTTTGGTCCAGGACAGCAGCAGATGTTGAGCCTGAAGATAGGTAATATTTTTGTTTTTGTTCTTTGTTTTTAAATTTAGTATGCAAACAATTAGAGTTACATTTTCAAATAACTAGACAGCTGAGGGCTAAGATGGTTGTTTTTGGTACAGAGGTCATTCTCTCCTTTCAGAGGAGTTTCAAAATGTAACTACTTTTTTTTTTAGAGAAAAATTATTTTTTTAAAAGGCAGAGTGACAGGGAGAGAGACAGAGGATATTGGTGCAGGTCCAGGCCAAAACTAGGAGCCAGGAACTTCATTCTGGTCTTCCACATGGATGAAAGGGGTTCAAGTACTTGGGCCATCCTCTTCTACCTACACAGCAGGCAGATTAGCTGGGAGCTGGATCAGAAGTGGAGCAGCTGAGTCTTGAATTGGCACTCCAGTATGAGATACCAGCATTGCAGGCAGTGGCTTAACCCACTGAACCACAAAGCCAACCTCAACATACAACAATTTCAATAAATGTTTTTTACATAGGATGATCCTGTGGAAGAACCATTTAATTTTCTTGTAAGACAAAATATCTCTCCACTTTGCTCCTGAGTGCTCATTTTGTGTGTACTACTTGTGACACAAGATCTTGTGCTGGGGGCTGGTACTGTGGTGTAGCAAGTAAAGCTGCTGCCAGCGGCCCATATCGGTGCCTGCTTGAGTCCCAGCTTCTCCACTTCTGATCCAGCTCTCTGCTTAAGGCCTGGGAAGGCAGTGAAAAATGGTCCAAGTAGTTGGGCCCCTGCCACCCATGTGGGAGACCCTAAAGAAGGTTATGGCTTTGTCCTGGCCGTTGTGGCCATCTGGGGAGTGAACCAGCAGATGGAAGATCTCTCTGTGTCTCTCCCTCTCTCTATGTAACTCTGACTTTCAAATAAATAAATAAATATTTTTTAGAAAAAGATGTTGACACTCATCTGCGTGGGATGCCTGCCAGATAGCTCCCTGCTTGTCCTTGAAGCTTCTGTGTCACTGCAGCTTGCTTCAAAGCCAGTCACCCAGGGGGTCCTTGGAGAGGAAATTTCTCTTCCTTTAAAGACATTAGCCGTGCAATTTGAAGGGAACAATTAAATGCCAGTTCTAAGGGTGTTTCATCACCATGCAGACTTCCTCTTACACAGCAGAGATGGATGGGGATGGTGTGTGGTTGTTCTCCAGCTACTGGTCATTAGAGCTAAAGCATGGAGATGGAGTTTCCATTTGGAAGAAACTTCAATGTCTCCAGTTTCTTTCCCAGATTTGTTCTATTGTTTGAGTTGCTGAATATAAATTTTGCTTAAAATATTCCATTACAATGATTTTGCCAATTCAGTAAATACCGTTAATTTGTTTTTAGTTTCCAATTAAAAAAACACAAGTGTTTGGATGCCGGTGTTGTGGTGTGCAATGCTGGCATCCCCTATTGGAGTACCAGTTTTAGTCTCGGCTGCTCCACTTCCAAATCAGTTCCCTGCTAGTGTGCCCGAGAAGTCACTGGAGAATGACCCAAGTACTTGGGCCACTGCCACTCATATGGGAGACCCAGATGGAGTTCCTGGCTCCTGGCTTCAGTCTGACCCATCCCTGGGTGTTGTGGCCATTTGAGGAATAAACCAGCAGATGGAAAATATCTCTTTTTCTCTCTGTCTCTCCTTTTCCCTCTGTAACTCCGCCTTTCAAATAGGCAAATTAACCTTAAAATATGTTTCTTAGAGGACTATTGTTTTAATCCAGATCATATAACATTGTACCTCAAATTAATGAACGTATTTTATATACTACATATTGATGCCTTGGAATTCCTATAAGATTTCATCAATTGTCTTTAGTTTTTCACTTTCCATTATTTAACAGTATTGCCTGTCAGGTAGTGGTTCTGAAGTCCTTGAAGTTCTGACAACTCTGTCTTTGGAACCTATCAAGATCTCCTAGTTCAGGGCTGGTGCTGTGGCATAACAAGTAAAACTGCCTGTGACACTAGCATCCCATATGGGTGCTGGGTTGTGTCCTGGTTGCTCCAGTTCCCATCAAGCTCCCTGATAATGGCCTGAGAAAAGCAGCAGATGGCCAAAGTGCTTGGGCCCCTGCGACCCGTGTGGGAGACCCTGAAGAAAGTAATGGCTTTGTCCTGGCCATTGAGGCCATCTGGGGAGTGAACCAGCAGATGGAAGATCTCTCTTTCTCTCTCTGTAACTCTTTCAAATAAATAAATAAATCTTAAAATCTCCTAGTTCAAAGGTAGCTCAAGATGCTGATTTAGCTTTTAGGTCATTTACAGCATTTGAGATGGTACCATTTTCATTGTTTACCCTTCTACTTCCTGGAATTTGGAAATCCGCGAGGATGTCCCTAATACAGAGAATTATCTAGCTTGCTTACTGAAACTGGATCTCATGCCATATTCTGTTTTAAGAGTGACAGAATGATTTTACCTCTAGGCCAGTCTCTTGTTAGAGTAAATAGGTATGCTCTGTGTACTGTGTGATTCACTTTTCCCCTCTTCTTTAAGGAAAGCAAAGGAAAATTTGTTTGGACAAAATAGAAGTTTTTCCAATGGCCTTGTAGACTGTGAAAAACGGCAGCAGCTGGAGCTGAGCTCTGTTGGAGAAGAAACTGTAACGGGAGAGTATGCCTTAATCATAAATGGTCACAGTTTGGTGAGTTTGCTTAAGGCTTTTGTCCTTTCTTTCATTGCCCCCAATAATCATCTCTTTTGTGCTGTCATAATGAGATCTCCTTTTGTGTTTTCCAAACAAACGACACTAGAAGAAGCAGGGCGTACACGGCGATTTCCTGTTTGCAAAGGGAAAGGAAACTTCTAATATATATTTCATACATTGTTATTTGAACCACCACAGTGAAAAGGAGGCTTGGAAGAAATATTGAATTCACAGAATATCAATCTTGTCTAAATGACTCTAGACCACTTAGCAATGTTATTTAAGTGCTTGTCTAAGTGGGAGTGTCACAGTTCACTGTTATTTAATTAAAATAATGCAACTGGATGAATCTATTGCAATTATTGCTCTTGCTAATGTTTGTCATTTGCAGAGCACAACTTGACCTTCACATAATTACCACACCAAATTATTGCCATTAAGATACCTCTGCTGTTTTTTTTTTCTAAATAGCAGCATTTTAAAGCAATGCCAAACAATTTGCTTTGATTAGGAAATCTGGTTTTTGTCGTAATAGAATAAACTTGCATTGTACTTTTAATGTAGTTCAGGTTCCAAATCTTGAACAAATATCAGAACGCTCTTCTGAGTTTCTAATTTAGAATACAAAAGCTCCGATTGCACTCCAGCGAAACTATCATTTATATGCACAAAGCACTAATCTCACATCTCTCTCTGGCTTTGATGATCATTTTTCACTTGGGAGTTTGGAAAATAAGTGTATCTTCTTGTAGACAGTTTCTTAGAGGACAAAAGGAGTTGGATATGAGTGTATTGTCTTTTCCCCTTGTGATCATCTATCTGTTAGCTCTTAGTGCTTAGAGCACTAGCCAGCTGGATTCCAGACGTAATGATGTGTTGCCTTCTACACCATGGAAAGTTACAGAGCTCAGCTGCAGGCCAAGCTCCGCTGAAAGTTTGTCCAGATGACACGGACTTCTCTCTCGGACAGATGAACAGCAACTGCAAGTTAGAGGGCTGTAAGCTGGTTCTTGGAGCTGGTGGCCTCGCAGTTGAATTGCTCAGGGACCACAATATAGAAAGGGTCCCTACTGAGTTTTGCTTTGGCTTTCCTGTAGGCTCAAAAAAGCCAACGATGGGTGGTGGGGTTAGAGGACTCAGGTGAAAATCTACACTGTGCTCTCTGTCTCCACGTTTGTTGAAAGAGAACCAGGAAAGATGTTCTTCAAGGACCCATTCGGCTTCTAAGCCTGAAGCTCATGAAACTATACAATGTCGTTTTTCGTTTAAGGAGAATTGGCCATGTTTTTGCTACTATGGCCAGCAGTTATTGTTAATTTTAAATCCTGATTCCTATTTGCTGAAATCCTGAGACTTTACAGAACGTAATTGGGCCTTTTGCTCTTTCTGCAGGCCTGATTCTAGTTTTTCTTGTTAATATATAGAGAAAAGGGGCAATTCTGAGGAAGATACTCAGTCCCATGCTTCCTCTTTCAGAAAGGGGGATTATATTTGAGAATGCCACATTACAACTTTCTCTAGGACTCACAGGCTTGATTGTGAGAATTTTCTACACCAGAGTTATATTTTTGTACTCATTCACCCATCCAGCCATTTCTACCACTAGCATTTATTAAGCACACCAGGGTTACAGTGCTAGAATCTGAAAATAAGGACGTACATTGTACATGATCCTTGTCTTAGGGATTGCCGTCTAGTGGGAGAGTTAACCACATAGCGTGTGATATAAAAGTGGACTGAACACAGTGCTCTGGGGGCAGAGAGGCAGACATATTTAGTTCCTTGTGGAAAAATCAGAGAGGACTTCCTTGAGGAAGTGATGTTTTCAGGTAGAGTGACAGCAAGCACAAAGGAGCAAGGCAAACAGAACCTATGAAATTATGGGAAAGAAGCAATTAGCATAATGGGAATAAAGGTTCGTGTTAAAGGTGGTATTAGAAATGGGCCAGAGTGTGATGGGCTGTGAATCTCTTGCGAAAGATTCACTCACTGATACTGATGACTCAACGTTTAGGTAGATTCCTGTTTCTTCATACTGTGTTTCTTCAAGAATGTACGATGAAATAATTACTAGAAAAAACATTGACATGATTATGTTCTCTTTTTCTTGGCATTTCATAGAGCTCTTTTGTGTTTCTATCTGAGCCGGCGTGGCATGTTGGGGACCCTGTCTGAGACACAGGTTGTGTGGGACTTCGTTGCCAGGCCTGTCTTGGTTTCAATCTCTATGTCCTTGAAAGGCCACTCTCCAGATCCCCTGCCTTGCATCTTGCTCACACATAAACAACCACAACCAGGAATACTAAATATCCAAAACAACAATGCAAAGGAAGCCAAAAGTCCATCATGTAGCACACACAAATGACCACCATTTGTGGTTCATTCTACACTTGAGGAGATGGTGGATGGGCCCTGTCGTTTGCTTTCACTAATCTTAGTGGCTTCTTGACCTTCTCCAGCATTTAACAAAGAAGCATGAGAAAGTGTCAAAAAAAAAAAAAAAAGGAAAATGTTTTTTATTTTCATTTTAAAATTCCTTGGCACTTAGTAGGAGTTCACTACTCGTTCCTGTAGTTTGTGTTGCTTGTGTGCTCCTGAATCAATAATGGTTTGTTGACATGAATGGAATGATTTAGAAAAGAAGTAAGATAGTTGCTTCCTAAATTACAATTCTCATTTAGTATTTCCTATTCTTTTTTTTTTTTTTCTCAAATTTACCCAGGCCCATGCCCTAGAAAGTGATGTCGGGAATGATCTCCTGGAACTCGCCTGCATGTGTAAGACTGTGGTTTGCTGCAGAGTCACCCCACTGCAGAAAGCCCAAGTGGTAGAGCTGGTGAAGAAACACAGACATGCTGTCACTCTGGCCATCGGCGATGGAGCCAATGATGTCAGCATGATTAAAAGTAAGAGGATATTTGCTTGATGGGACATGTTGCATCCATGGAGTGGTCTGTTTCAGCATTTGGGAATATTTAATAGAGCTTGCATTAAAATTTAATTTTGACAGTGGATCTAAAATGCATGATAATGTATTGGTCCAGGGATTCCACCATTAGCATTTGTAACAAGATCTTTGTCTTTAGTTAAATCATCTGTGTATTATTTTGACTAGGAAAGCTCATTGGTCATTTTATACTCTTTGGGGAAGTGGGTAGCTGCAGTGTGGATGAAAGAACACCAGACCTACATCTGCAACAAATGGATATGACCTCATCTCTAATACTTACAAGTTATAAAACCTTGAGCAGGGGGCTGGCACCGTGGCTCACTTGGTTAATCCTCCGCCTGTGGGGCCAGCATCCCATATGGGTGCCAGGTTTTAGTCCAGGTTGCCCCTCTTCCAGTCCAGCTCTCTGCTGTGGCTCGGGAGTACAGTGGAGGATGGCCCAAGTGCTTGGGCCCTGCACCCGCATGGGAGACCAGGAAGAGGCACCTGGCTCCTGGCTTTGGATCGGTGCAGTGCCAGCCGTAGCGGCCATTTGAGGAGTGAACCAATGGAAGGAAGACCTTTCTCTCTGTCTCTCTCTCTCACTGTCTAACTCTATCTGTCAAAAAAAAAAAAAAAAAAAGATACTTCTCTGAACATGGGAATGGAGTGGCATGAGAACTGGGCTGCTTATAAAAAAATAAGAAAATAAATAAATAAAAAAAAAACCTTGAGCAAGTTATTCAACTCCTCTTTAAAAAAAAAAAAAAAAAAACCTGGGATAAAACCTATCATGTTTCATGAGATACTATATATGAACATTTTTAATTGCTATAAGATTTCCATAAAGAAATAACAACAATGAGAAATTATGACTCCCCACCTCCCTTCCCCAAAATTGTGTTTTTCTTTTAGGAATGAAAATGTTCCTCCTTTCCTTTATAGGTGCTCACATTGGTGTTGGCATCAGTGGCCAAGAAGGCCTGCAAGCGGTCTTAGCCAGTGACTATTCCTTTGCACAGTTCAGATATCTCCAAAGGCTTCTCCTCGTTCATGGAAGGTGGTCCTATTACCGAATGTGCAAATTCTTATACTATTTCTTCTACAAGAATTTTGCATTTACACTTGTGCATTTCTGGTTTGGTTTCTTCTGTGGTTTCTCAGCCCAGGTTGGTAAAAATATATTTTTCTTTTATAATATCTGTTGAATTACAAATGAGTCCTCTTAATGGGCATTTACTGATCACTAGAGAACATTTTTCTACACATGAGACAAGTGACACTATTATGATTATAGATTGATAGTTGACTTGATCTTGGAATCCAAGAAGATTTACCTGACTATTTTCTTATTTTCATAAGCAATCAATTAACCAATGAGTACTTCTTCCTGTAGTTTTTTAAAATTTATATTGAAGAGTCTTGATATGATGACAGGCAAACTTGACGTAGAGTTTTCATTCAGAACAGATATCTGAGAAACAGCAACAAGAAATGCTGAGGTATCTCACTTGGAAAGGTGTTCACTTCTTCCCTAACACACTAAATGTATCTGGGCTCACAACAGATGTGTTTTAAATCAAGAAGAAGTGATTGCTATCCTGACAGCAAAGCTGTTTCGACAGCAGGGTCAGCTACAGTTGATCCATAGATAATGTTGGAAACAAGGAAGAAAAATGAGCAAAGCAATCAATTAGGATCTTATTTTTTGTATCTATTCATATCCATTTTAAATGATAGCTATTTAACCTCGTATCCTGGATATCAGGAAAGCTTTGACTTCAGGTTTCAACTATGAAATATATATAGCATTTATATAAGCTTATGAATACAAAATAATTTTTAATGAAAACTTGAATGTGGACATGGCATTCATATTTTGAACAGTAAAAATACTGTTCTTGAGAATGAAATGGGAACCATAACTCTTGTAGAGATTTTCTTAATTGCTATTAGTTCCTTTTGGGTTTCATCAATGCGACTGGTTTCAATGATATTCATGAGGCTATTTTTTCAATCATTTTACTCCAGAAAAGATTGAGAATGAATTTGATCTTGGCATTTTATGCCCTCTAAGGTGCCAAGGGAGATGGGTGAACCCTTTTTATGACTAAGATATGTTCTGTTCATTTTCCCCTTCTTCTGGGAAGTTGGGATTTCTTAAAGTGAGACACACCTGTATCCATTGTTAGTTTTCTCTTTTTAGGGATAATATTCCAAAAACTAAAAGCTGACTATGTTATTATTTTTGCCCTTTTGGCAATCTTTTGACAGTTGAAGTAAAACAGAATCTTGATTTTTGCTTCTCAGAAATAGAAGTTGTTAGTGCTAGTTCATAGCAGGCATAAGGATAGGGCTTTTTATTTGCTCACAATTCCACTCCCCTCTCTATATGTAGGGACTCACCCCACATATAGGAAGGAGGCCAGATTATTTGCTAAGGGGTGTTTCTGAGAGATCTCACCTTTAAATTCTAAAGGTTTGGGGCTGAAGAGTCACAAAATTATGAAAGGATAGCTTAACCCTCATTGAGACTCTTTGGATACAGAGGAATGGTTAATAGTATTTATGGACACACCAGGATTATGTAACGAGGTTCACTGTCATACTGTCTTTGGTTTTTACAGTTTTAATGTGAGCTTGAAAGTAATGTTCAATGATTTCTCACCTCTACATTGAAGTTGTTTCCTGCTTTGCTTTTGGGATCTGGTAAAATTGATCATTCAGATGATCAGTTACTAGATGTTTAATCTTTTCCCTAGAATTTACATTTTAAAGCAGCCAGGGAGAACAGTAATTGCTCCAAAGACTTGAGAGTCTGATGGTTGAACCCAGCTGGAAGACACATCACTTGTCTATGATTAGGTTTCTGAAATGTTTTATTCAGCATATTTCTTTTCTGAGTTCCTTATCGCTTTCTCTTGTTTTTTACACTGAAAATTCTTGTTAACTGCACGATCTTCATTTTGGATCCTTTGTCAATCCTGATTGAGCCTCTGTATCCATTCCTTTGCTAGTGAATTAGGACTAATAAGTGTCATCATACGTTAGTGTGCATTGGAATCACCTGGATGGCTTATTAAAGCAAAACTCACTGAGCACCAGCCCCAGAATTTGATTCAGTAGCTCTGAGGCAGAGACCTAGAATTTGTAGTTATTTAATTTTTAAAAAAATATTTATTTTCATTTTACTTGGAAGGTATAGAGAGGAAGAAAAGTCTTCCATCCATTGGTTTGTTCCCCAAATGTGTCCATAACAGCTGGGGCTGGGCCAGACCAAACCAGGAGCCTGAATCTCTATTTGGGTCTTCCTTGTAACTGGCAGGGATCCGGGTACTTGAACCATCATCTGCGGCCTCCCAAAGCGCACATTAACAGGAAGCTGGAATTGGAAGAGGAGCTGGTACTTGACCCTAGGCATTCCAATATGGATGCGGGTGTCCCCAAGCAGTGTCTTAACTCCTCATACACAATTCCCACTCCCAGAATTTTTAAATTTTGGCAAAAAGCACACAATCAAGGTTGATGACTTTAACTGTTTTAAGTGCACAGTTCAGTAATGTGTAGTAAATTTACACTGTTGTGCACAGGTCTCCAGAACTTTGACATTTTGCAAAACTGAAACTCTTCTCCATTGAATAACAACTCCTGTTTCCCCTCCCTCCAGGCCCTGGTAACCCCTATCCTCCTCCCTCTGTTTCTGTGAATTTTACTGTTTTAGATCCCTCAAATAAGAGAAATCATGGAGTGTCTGTCTGTCTTGTACAGAATTATTTCACTTAACATGATGTCTTCAAAGTTCATCCAAATTGCAGCATGTCTGATAGGATTTTTCTTCTTTTTAAGGTGGAATAACATAAATACACACTACCTTTTGTTTAGCCCTTCATCTACTGGTGAACATTTGGGTTGCTTCTCCTTCTGGCTTATCTTATCTTTTTGTTGGACATTTTCCATTCATGTTTTAGAGTTCAGTGTGTAAAGATTATATTTTCCCCATACCCCAGCCTCCCTTGAAATTCACAGTTAACATTAGTCTACTAAAGACTGACAGCCCAAATGTAAAGAAACCCTATCAAGTTTAATTCATTAAAACACATACACACACAAACACACATATTTTTACATTCGACATCTCTGAAACTAGGTTGTCTTTATAATGGAGTTTATAATGGAGTTTTTGAATTCAGATTGTAAATTCCAGTGAATATTGGTTTATTGTTCAGGTGTTCAGGAGTTTTTTTTGCTCTCTCTATTTTGCTAGAGCAGGGTTGACACAGGCAAGTTTCCTTGGTAGTCTCGTTCTGCCTGAAGATTTGTTTCTCCACTACTCTGTCACTGAAGGTATAGCCCTTTACTTCCTTACCTTTGTGGGAATGCTAGATTTCCCGTTTAGCCCAACTTGGTATTCATATCGGTGTTTTCAGTGGTTAAGACACTGCTTGGGATATCTGCATCCCATGTCAGGGGCCTGTATTTGAATTTCTTGCTGGAATCAGGATTCCAGCTTATTGTGCATACCTTGGAAGGCAGCAAGAGAAGGCACAAGTACTTGGGTCCCTGCCACCCATGTGGGAGACCAGGATTCTATTCTGGGCTCCTGGATTCAGCCTTGTCCACCCCTGGCTCTTTTGGGCATCTGGGGAGTGAATCAGCGGATGCAAGACCTCTTTCTCTGTCTCTCGGCCTTTCAAATAAATAAAAATAAATTTTAAAACATCAATGATGTTTTAGAGTCAATGAGGCTTGGCATTATTTCCCAGACTTATTTTGCATAGAGCACTATTTTTTCTAAGCTCCATACATTATGTTCTGTACAATGATTGTCATATAGAATACTTTGGGAAGTTCTTTAATAGATGTCTCCACAGCAACAATTTCAAAACTTGACATTGCTTTGTTATTAATCCCTGTTCCAATGATTTGAAAACAGTAAGATGAGAGAAGGACAAAATGATGCTAAGAATACCGTCCCCATAGGAACAGCCTAGTTATATCCCTTTCAAAAATTTCCATTTTCTCATCTAACTCTTGTCCAAGAGAGAAAATAGCCCTGTTTTATATAACAAAGTAAGAATTTACATTTTTAAAAGAGTTGCTTATTTAACTGAAAAGCAGAATGTTAGAGAGAGGGAGAGACATATGGAGAGAGATCTTTTAGTCACTGGTTTAGTCCCCAAATGGTCACAACAGCCAGAGCTGGGACAGGCCAAAGCCAGGAGCAAGAAACTCCACCAAGGTCCCCCACATGGGTGGCAGAGGCCCAAGCACTTGGACCATCCTCTGCTGCCTTCCCAGGCTCATTAGCAGGGAGCTGGATTGGAAGCAGAGCAGCTGGGACTCAACTGGTGCTTTGATATAGGCTGCCAGTGTTGCAAGCAGTGGTTTAAGCCATTGTGCCACAGTGTTGGCCCTGGTCATTTACTAAAGATAATTTCCCTCCCACTATCCTGAGAGGCAGGGGGCGAGAGGCAGAGAGAGAGAGAGAGAATCTTCTGTCCACTGGTTTTCTCCCTAGATGGGCTGCAATGGCCAGGACTGGGCCAGGCTGAAGCTGGGAGTCAGGAGATTCATCTGGGTCTCCCACATGGGTGCAGGGCCCAAACACTTGGGCCATCTTCCGCTGCTTTCTAGGCTATTAGCAGGGAGCTGGGTTGAAATTGGAGCAGCCAGGATAAAAACCAGCATCTAGATGTGATACCGGTATCAGCAGGTGGCAGCTTCATCCACTACACTACAAGCTCACCCCTGGAGCTGGTTTTTACACTGGGAAATAAATATATTAACAAGTCTAAAAAGAAATACTGTAATTGCAGTAAATATGAATATGGGCAAAGGAGAAATGTGTAAAGACCTGGGATGACCTCCAGTGCTCTAGTCAGCAAGTGACCACAGGAACACTTTCCTATCTATCTAGTTGCAGGAATCCAGGTTCTAATCGGCATGAAGGTGTGAGACTGGGGAGCTGAGGGCAGGAACTCCTTCTCTCATGCACTGACTGAAATCTAGTTTCTAAAATTCATTCAGAGCTGCCATTGAAGGTGGATCTTTTAGGGCACTGTGCACAGCAGGAAGCCTGTCCCACAGCATGAATTTTACCACTGTAAATATAGAAACTCCTGTGCTTCTAGTCCCACCCCATGCGTGAATGGTTGGGGGTATTAATGGT